AATATTTTCATCTTTGAAAAAGATACATTCCTTTTTCAGTTTTTCATATCGGCATATCTGAAATAAGAAAATTTACATTGGAAATATTTGTGAAGACGTCGATTTTTCAATCTTGGTACTACATGTATTTTACCATTATTCTTAAGTAATGTTGTTTGCTTTGTTTTTGATCATGTAGCAAAGTATTTGGTTAGAAGATGCATTTGATAGAGCAAGACAATTGCTCTTGTCAAACTTTCAATCCAATTTGAAGAGTTTAGAGCAATCTACAGCTCGCAAACTCATGTTGGCAATGTTGGAAGATGAACGGTTTATCGAGCCAACACAAAAATCATTAAAAAATTTAACGTTGCAATCTGTCAAGGATGCATCGTTGAACAAATTTATAGGAAATAATATGGAGGTAAGTATGTAATTTTTTATTATTTAAATTAATCTTAGAAATAAATTAAACATTTCTAATTATTTATTTCAAATGTTTCTTTTAGGTAAGTATAGTGGGTGACTTCTCTGAAGAAGATATAGAATCTTGTATCATTAACTATTTGGGTACAATTAAAGCTACAGAAAATTTCAAGAATGGACCTCATCAGTATGAACCAATTATGTGTAGTGCTTCTCCATCCCATTTACAATCACGAGTACGAACCTCACATAACCATTTAGATTATTTGTAGTGTAAAAATTAGTTGTTGAATCTTTTATGAGGGTTTTTTTTTATCAGGTTTTTTTAAAGGATACTGAAGAGAGAACATATGCATGTGTCGCGGGCCTTGCACCAAATATATGGGGATTCAACATTGATGGAAAACACTATCTTGAGTCGAAGTTAATTGTCGGGGAAAATTGGATAAGTAATCTTCATAGACATCCGTTTTTCTTTCTCATCACAATGGAGTTCCTGACCGAACTTATAGACACACGGTAAATTCTACTCTGCAATATTTTCATTTAATTAAAATCGAAATAAAAATATGTTGTTGAGAGTTATCTAAATTTAAGTTGTAAAAGTATTTCTATCATTGAATTAACAACAAGATATTCCTGATCTTGTCAACTAATCATAGTTTAATGATGGTTTTATTTTGCATTTAAGTTTGCGTTAAAATAATTACAATGATGTGTTAATTTGCATGAATATTTCATACAGGCTCGTTGAAGCTGTTAATGGTTCTTATTTGGCATATCAAGCAAAATTGGATGTACACTT